ATATCTACAGAAATACCATATATATATATATATATATATATATATATATATATTTGATATGTATTTCTATAATGTAGTATGTCATACCTGTGGCCAGAGTCAGAAACTGCGCCCCGACCCCTAATACAGCACACAGGAGGCTCTTATATGTTGGGAAGCGAAAGACATCTGTGTGGATGATTTTCCATCCGTTATCCCCCTGATCCAGATCGTCACAGCCGCCATCTTCCTCTACATTATACCTGTACACACATACAACAACAGTGTTTGATCAGACCGTTGTTCATTAATGATCTCTGGATAATGTGTGCTGATCCTTCCTCTTCCCAATATAGATAATACAATGTTAAAATACTGTCTATTTCATTGCTTTCACCTGACTTTCTAAAATAATACATTAAACAAAATTAACAGAAAATAAAAGGCAACAGTTACACAACAGTTCAAAAGTTTGGGGTCTGTAAGATTTTTCAAAAAGAAATGAATTTTTTTGAAAATAATAATAAAACATAAATAAATTATTATTATTATTATAAAGAACAAGCCAAAGATTTTTGAGCACCAAATCAGCATATTAGAATGATTTCCGAAAAATCGTATGACGACAGGAGTAATGGCTGCTAAAAATGTAGCTTTTCCATCACAGAAAGAAATTACATTGTAAAATGTATTCAAACAGAAAATAGTCATTTTAAATTATAATAATATTTCACAATATTGCATAATAATATTGCAATCCAATAAATGCAGTCTTTGTGAGCATAAGAAACTTCTTTTAAAAACACACACGTGCAAAAAAAACAACAACAACAAAAAAAAAATCAAACCTTTACCAAACGGTAGTGTCTTCTCTACTCTCTGCTGTCTTTGTTTACATTACTGTAATTCTTGAGACTCAATTACCTTGTTCAATAAAAACTGCTCGAAAATTAACTCAAGAGTGTACTAATGTAACTTAGCACATTTCACTCAGCTAAAGACTTCAGTACATTAAACCTCAATACTTGATGTCAGAATGTCCTAGCAACTTGTTTGTGTGCACATGTTGCTCAGGGAACAACAGAAACACTTTAAAGGCCAATTCACACCGCACAGACAAACGCCAGCAAACACCAACAGACAAGACTGTCTGAGTTTGTTGGATCAGTGTGTTACCTGTCGGCGATTGTTTCCGTTGGTCTGAGTTTGTTTTAAAACCAGTTCACACCGCACAGACAAACGCCAACAAACAAGTTGACTGTTGGATTTAGAATTTTAATGAAAAATAACTGTCATGTTCACACTGCCCCAACAGAGCTTTGTGTCAAGAGAAAGTCAAGTAAGTATGACTGGGAGAAAAAAATGGATGATCCAGTAACCAATTAAAATGTTCCTGTTATAAATGTCTTTGCATGTCATTCTTCACCTGAAAAAATGGCGAATAAATCGAATGAGGCTGTGGGTGAAGCCATGGTTGCTGCTACGGGGAAGACGGGGCGCCTACTTGAATTTATGCAGAGAACTGCAGTCGGAAGATTTACAAAGCTTTCAAAATTTTGCTTGGGTGGTCCCTAATCAGTTTTGGTTCGTCCAGAAACCTGCCATTTAGGATAATTTGCTAAGCACGCCCAGCACCTACTCGCTGTCTTGCCTCATCGTCATGGCAACGGTTCGTGGCCGCAGGTCAGATTACGTCAGAGTTTGTTGGAAAATCATACCACACTGCTCAGCCATTCCACAACCCAACAAATACCAATCAAAAATCCTCACCTGGCGAAGTCGTTCTTCAGCACCCTCATGAGGATGATGATGACGAAGCCCAGCAGCAGCACCACCAGCACTAGTGAGTTGATGATGGACAGCCAGTGGATTTCCAGAGTCTTAGGAAAGAAGGAATAGTCTCGAAGGCGCTCCGCCCTGCGCGAATGGGGCAACGTACTCTCAAACCAGCGCACGCTGTAGGTGTGAGTGACCGTCAGACCACCGCTGCCAACACCATGGCCTGCCCCTCCCCCGCCTTCCTCTAATGGCTCCGGCTTCACGTCCTTCACAGACACGTTGGCGAAGATCACAGAGTCGCCGTTGTACTCTATATTGAAATCCAAGTGTGTCCACAACCCCACCTGTTGTACAAAAATAGTGAATGAAGCAGGGCTATTGTAGTTCACTAAAACTAAAACCATAAAAAATTTGTATATATTTGATTAGAATATTTGTTAAATATTTGATATATTATTTATTTGAATCCCTCGTTGTTGTATCTCTAACCTAACTTTGTAAGCGACCTCTGTATTTTACTTACAGCCCTTGTGTATTGTGCTTTGATGTTGATGCTTATTTGGCTCTGTTCCTTATTTGTCTCTGTAAAACGACCTTGGGTGTTGGAAAGGTGCCATATAAATACAAATTATTATTATTATTATTTGTTAAAATAACAAATAATAATTTGTTAAAATGTTAAAATAAAATGTTAAAATATAAAAAACCCTTAAAACTGATCTTAATTTAGCTAGTTCCTAAGGAAACATTTCTTCATTTTTAACTTGATGTACTAAAATAAATAACATATATAATAAAATATATAAATTAATAAATTAACTAAAACTATTAACAAAACCTGTAAGTGTAACTAAGTGATACTAAAATAACACTGGGATGAAGAGAATCATGATGCTTTATTCAATAAATTAGCAAATATCAAAAGAGTCAAACAGTATACAGCAGCCCCAAAAAGTTCTTATTGTACATATTTAATATTTTATAATCTCTAATATACACTACCATTCAAAAGTTTGGGATCGGTAAGATTTTTTACTGCTTTTGAAAAAAAGTCTCTTATGCTCACCATGATTTATTTGATCAAAAATACAGTAAAATAGTAATATTGTGAAATATTATTACAATTTAAAATAACTGTTTTCTATTTTAATATATTTTTACTTAAAATGTTTATTCCTGTGATGCAAAGCTGAATTTTCAGCATCATTACTCCAGTCTTCAGTGTCACATAATCCTTCAGAAATCATGCCAATATGCTGATTTGGTGCTCGAGAAACATTTATTATTATCAATGTTGAAAACAGTTGTGCTGCTTAATATTTCTGTGGAAACCGTGGTACATTTTTTCATAAGATTCTTTGATAAACAGAAAGTTCAAAAGAGCAGAATTTATTTGAAATTTATCATTTTTGTAACATTATTCATGCCTTTACTGTCACTTTTCATCAATGTAATGCATCCTTGCTGAATAAAAATAATTTCTTTCAAAAAGAAAGAAAAACCTTACTGACACCAAACTTTTGAACAGCAGTCTACATAAATGTATGCATCTAATATTTTAAACTAACAACGTTTTTGATAAAACACCACTTGTTTTGATATATTCATCTCTAATGTAATGAAATTCATATATTTATATTCGTGCCAAAGTGTCTAAACCCTTTTTGTGTGACTGACAAAGACCTTGTGGCTGTGAGGTAGGAATCCACTCTCTTCCATGTATCCCACGAAACCCCAGATGGGAATGTCATCTAGGACAAACTCGAAGTAATACAGCTCCTCGATCGCCTCTCGCAACTGATCCACCTGTAGTTTCAAAAATGTATAAAGTATGACACATCTGAAACAATTCCATTCCCCTAAGTCTCTGCCGTTTCCTCTTTCATGACATGAAAATGTGCTAAATCCTGCCCCAGGAGATCTGGTTTTTGCAGAGTTTATTTCCAACCCTCTAACACACCCATCACTATCATTCTCAAATTAACCTGAAAACCTCGACTAGCTGGTTCAGCCAAGTTTGATCAGAGCTGGAGCAGGATGGAGAATCCCTGTCATAAATGCAAACGGTTTTTCCCATTCCAACTGCACAAATAAACAGACTACAATGTACACATGAGCAAAATCAAATCCCAAGCATCTTTGCTCTAAACAAAATCGCATTTGCAATTTTTGTGAATAAGATCGCATTGCTACCTCTTTCTCAGAGAGAGTGAGCTTGCACAGCATCTGTCTCTCAGTGTTTTCCTTGAAACGGATGTTGTAAAGAGACTCAGCCATACGGTCTCCATCCAACACCTCTCCCAGACTCAAGGCTTTATGACGGACCTGCAAACACGTCAATCATCCACAAGGTGATAGATCTGCACTAATAGTATATCATAATGACTTGTATCGCACCATAATGTCATAAAACAAGCACAGTGCAGTGCACACTCACCTCTTTAGGTCTACAGACTGGCAGGGTGTAATAGTGATAGGTTTCCTGGGGGTTGTGATACGGACCAACTTTGTTAACGTACAGGATCACCGGATCGCCTTGTTTGTAACTGACTGCCCAGCCAAAGCGAGGCAGCAAGCACAGAATCAGCACACAGAGCCTCATGGATCGACCAGCGACACACGGGCCTGAACAGTCCAGTCTTGCTGTCATGACAACACCTGTCAGTGGGCAAACCAAGACTGTAAAAGGGGTCAGCAACTATGCAAACAACAAAAAAACATTTACATAATTACTTTAAGTGGTTGACAGGTCCTGCAGTCTGACATGCTAGACTCCATCTAGTCTCTATTTTTAGTGACTACATGGAATATTGAAAAATACAATCATGATTTTTCATTTTGGGATGAACTATCCCTTTTTCTTCATCATTTTTATAAATGTAATTAGAATAGTTAGAATTCATATACATTTGAATCTTGATTAAAAAAAAGTGAATAGACATTATGCATATACTACATGTTAGACATTAAAACTTAGACATATAAAGCTTTTAAATGGCTAATTATTATTCATATTATTATTATTATTATGACGACTTCATAATATGTAGTGATTATATTGTATTTCTAAAAAATTTAAACGTGTTGGAAAATGTGAAGGTAAAAAAAAATTATCATGATTTAATTTTGGGAAGAACAATCCCTTTAAGCGAAAATGGTCACAGCACCTAAAACATTTTCTCTTAATCATTTATATTCATTTAATGATTTCAATTTTAAACATTTATATAAATTTGAATATTGAAAAAAATGAAAAAAGTTAATGGGCATTTTATGCATCAACTACACATAAGGCTTCACTGAAACAACATAATTACATAATTATATAATTATTATAGCGTTAGGGTGGCTCGTTACAATGCAATTACATAAATAAGCACTGAATAATATAACTTTAACAACATATACTTACTACAGTGTTGGGGTTTGGTTTAGTTGCTTGTAATCATGCATAATTCAATCCTAATGCAAAAATAGGACCATCTTTCCAACGTCTTCAGCTAGGTTAATTCAAATTGTTTTGAAAGGTTAAATAAATAGATATAGTTAGCATCTTTCAGACATAAACAAATGATATACACATCGATCGGTCGTAGACATGGTGTAACATTGGTTTTGCTTTGTTTCACAGAACTAATCGTTGCCTGGGTTGCGTACGTATATGTGCGGCGGATCTATCAAAATAGGGGCAAGACCCTTTTGGGGTAGGGGCGTGTTTGTTTTGGTGATTTCAAATATCAACATTGGCTACCAGAAATCACTTACTCTGCCTTTAACTAAATGACATAAAATTAAATAAAAATCCTAATGAACATTACTGATATCAATAATAAGAAACAATTATTATGGGAGCTTATGGGAATGTCCTTTTACTGTTTTTCTCTGTAAATTATTTAAATTTACATACAAAAAACATACATTTGACAGTATTTTACAGTACAGAGCCATATAATGCTGTGTAAACATACTTTTTTATTTTTTTTTACATATATGGTGAGGTAACTTAGTTAACTAACAGATTGCCGTTTTCTGTGTAAAAACATTTTCTGCGTTCTGTTTTAAGATATCTTCTTATTTTAACCCCTACAGCTGGAGAAGAGAGGCGAGAGACGAGCCGAGGCTGAGAAACTTCTAGCTCAGGCTCAAGAAGCAGGTACAGACACGTTCAAAACTACATGCTTTTTTGAAAATAATTCTTTAAAATGGGTCCTAATTCCAAGATTTCTCACAGGTGAACAGGAAAACATTGACAAGTTCAGTAAGCGATTAGTGAAGGTTACCAAACAACACAACGAGGAATGCAAGAAGTTACTTACTCTAATGGGTGTCCCATACATTGAGGTACTGCCACAGTCACTGACGGTCAACAACATAAAATAATACGAGTAAAAGCACATGTTATCATGGATATAAGCAAAATTGTATACCTGTCATGTTAAGGCTCCATGTGAGGCGGAGGCGAGCTGTGCTGCTCTGGTGAAATCAGGGAAGGTTTATGCCACAGCAACAGAAGATATGGATGGTCTGACATTTGGAACGACAGTCCTGTTGAGGCACCTAACAGCCAGTGAAGCAAAGTATGTATGGATACGCTTTATATCTGTATTTTGATGATGGAGATGTTTAGCCATGCATTAGTAACTGGTTGTTTTTTCTATCCTAGAAAGCTCCCTATCCAAGAGTTTCATTTCAGTCGTATTCTACAGGAAATGGGTGTGACGCATCAACAGGTGAGACCTTCGCTTTATTTCAGTCTTATCTGTTTTTATGTAAATATCTGCCTTATTCTACATGTGTCAGTTCTTTCTAATTGCTGTTTATTTCTGTTTGAACGTCTTCCTCAGTTCATTGACCTGTGTATCCTACTGGGCTGTGACTACTGTGGCACTATAAAAGGAATCGGACCCAAGAGGGCCATCGACCTCATTAAACAGCACGGCTCTATTGAAGAGATCCTTGAGAATATTGACCCAAATGTAAGTTTGTTTACACTGTTTAAAGGCATTTACTTACTGTTGAATGTCACAATGCAGGACATGACATATTCAAAATGTTGCCCATATTAGTGATGCCTCGTTTCAAATCACATCCAGGATCATACTTGCTGAATTGTGCCCTCTAGTGGCGGTCAGTGGATTGCTTAGTCAGAAAATAAATTTGGCCACAGGGCAAGTGTATTGATTATTTGCTGGCCATAAAATGTTGCCCATCATCATTTATTTTCATTATATATTTAATTTTTACTGTCTCTTGCATAATTGAAATATGTAACAGTATTTATTTTTATTTGTAAAAAAAGGTGATAATCCTGCCTCAGTTTCTCAATAACAGTTTATGTTAATAATATTTATATATTGCAGTTATTAATAGTTTTAATTTAGCTTTTTTATTTCCATTTTTTCCAGTAATTTTATGTGCTTTTGTCTTTCTTTCATTTTTTAAAATTTCTTAAATATAAGTTTTAGTTTTTTTCCAGGTTAGTATTTAGTTTATTTCCAGTTTTTCATTTTAGTGCTTCAACATAAATTTATTTGTTAGTTGCCAAGGAAACATTTCTAATTTGAGTTTTTCATCAAACATTTATATTTTATTTTATTTCAGCTTTATTTGAAGACCCAGTTATTTTGTTCCTCATTTTTGAAGGAATTCCTGGAGGGAGAAAAAAACTTTACATTTAAATGTAAAATAATTGTAAATTAAACATTGGTAAACCTTTCATTGCAGTAAAAAGTTAGATGACACACAGCATACTTAATTTTGCATCTTGGCCACAATGCTTATCTGAACAAACTTGTGTGCTCAGATTAATATAGCCGTTTCTTTTAAATAGGCTTTACAATGTGATATTTGTCTTGTTTTGTGCTGCAGAAGCACCCAGCTCCAGAGGACTGGCTGTATAAAGAGGCTCGGGGTCTCTTCTTGGAGCCTGAGGTCATAGATGGCACCACTGTTGATCTGAAGTGGAACGAACCTGACGAGGATGGACTGATTCAGTTCATGTGTGCTGAGAAACAGTTCAGGTACAAAGCAAACAAATATTGTTCCTAAAACCTGCCAGACTTAAACCAGAAACAACTAACGTCAGAAAAGCCTATCTAAAATAAAATAATATACTTTACAAATATGTTACACTTCATTGTTACGGTGCAATTACACAATTATGTACTGAGTAATATTAACAACAGGTCCTTACTATGGAATTAGGTTTTGTTTAGGTTTAGTTGCATGTAATTATGCATAATTTACTATTTATTTATAGGGATGTAACGATTAACCTCGAGCCGGTTGAAAATCGATTTAAATATGTGACGATTCAAATCAGTTGAGATGCTAAACAAATCGTGATTCATTTAGGGGTAGGAGTTTATATGAATGCATGTCTGAGGGAAACTGACTGTCTTTAGAAAAGTTTAGATGGTATTTTTTCTTTTCAATCTGGCCTCTGTATAATGCATATTAAAGTTCATAAGTGCTGCACTGCTTTGTTTACAGCGAAAACCAAGGAAACGCTTTAAGCGCCACCTGCTGGCAGACAGTGAATCTGCGTCTCATTCAGCTCGTCTGCTGTTTCTGTTTCATGCAGATATTTTTTTATGTATAGTTTCACAAAACTGAAGTCAAACCATTCTGTTTTTGCCTCAAATTTTGAAATTATACAATCTAATTTGGATAAAAAAACTGCTCATGTTGCATGTATGCAGCATAAAAATCTCTTTAGATCTCCTAGTAAATGTTCTGCAGTTCAAATTGATGTCTTGTGGATCAAAGCATACTGGAAGGGATTTTTAAAGGAGACATACCATGGAAAACATTACATTCCTTGCTCTTTTGAAATAAAAGAGTTGATTTACTATATAGCTGTACTTCAACATGCTCCCTTCACAATATTTGTAGATACTAAAAGCTATAAAACGGTCTTCCAAAAATGGGGTCATAATAGCAAAAGATTTATACGTATATGATAAACCACATTAAAAATTTTATCTATTTTGTGTGTGTGTGTGTGTACTTGTTTATGCTACATTGTGGGGACCAAATGTCCCCACAAGGATAGTAAAACCTGACATTTTTTACATTGCGGGGACCGGCCTGCGGTTTAATATTAAAAAATATAAAAAATATAAATGATGTTTATCTGAAAGTGTAACAATGCAAACAGGTTTTCTGTAAGGGGTATGTTTAGGGTTAGGGGATAGAAAACATCGTTTGGTCAGTATTAGGGATGTAACGATTAACCGCGAGCCGGTTGAAAATCGATTCAAATATGTGACGATTCAAATCAGTTGAGATGCTAAACAAATCGTGATTCATTTAGGGGTAGGAGTTTATATGAATGCATGTCTGAGGGAAACTGACTGTCTTTAGAAAAGTTTAGATGGTATTTTTTCTTTTCAATCTGGCCTCTGTATAATGCATATTAAAGTTCATAAGTGCTGCACTGCTTTGTTTACAGCGAAAACCAAGGAAACGCTTTAAGCGCCACCTGCTGGCAGACAGTGAATCTGCGTCTCATTCAGCTCGTCTGCTGTTTCTGTTTCATGCAGATATTTTTTTATGTATAGTTTCACAAAACTGAAGTCAAACCATTCTGTTTTTGCCTCAAATTTTGAAATTATACAATCTAATTTGGATAAAAAAACTGCTCATGTTGCATGTATGCAGCATCTTTATTTGGATCATGATTAAAATGCAGTGGTTTTCTCTAATTTTAAATGGAAAGAGCACAGACAAAGCCTTAGTTTGTTTATATGAAGAGATTTATTTTATTTGTTACTTGTTTATTTGATTTGGGGCTTGTTTTAAAATTTCAATTTAGTTTTATTATTTACATTTACATTATATTTAAATTTTGTTATTTAGCAGACGCTTTTATCTAAAGCGACTTACAAATGAGGACAATAGAAGCAATCAAAACCAACAAAAGAGCAATAAAATGCAAGTGCTATATTAGTATATTATTATAGTGTTATATTTAAATTTCACAAAGAAACATACAGTATTTTGTCCAAGCAATAATAAAAGGACACATTTAATTTATAATTTGTCTTAAATCTCATTTTGTAAAAAAAAATTATAATAATAATCGTGAATCGAATCGAATCGTGAAATCAAAATCGTGAATAGAATCGAATCGTGAGTTGAGTGAATCGTTACATCCCTACTCTAAACTGAGACAAACACTATATTTTATAACTGAT